TTCTCTCCGAATGAAAATATATTCGGATATCCGACTGATTTCTCACTCTCAGTATCGTTCCGTGAAACCTCTTCTGGCTTGCTATTGAAGTACTGCGCTGTGTACCTTTACTCTTCAGTATGGTTAGAGGCTAAGTTACTCACTGATATCTTCGCATTATTCTTGTTCATCTTCTGCAGCATTTGCCGTGCTGATATGTCCCCAGCTGCCAGAATGAATGAATGACGTCCTAATCTCTCCGACTATTCAGGGTCTTCCTCAGTTCCGCAAGAACCTGCGATCCTCTTGGTAACCCAGACGGGGATCGAACCGGTCTAACGTTTGTAACATAGATACCATAGATACCACGCGAGGCATGTGCAAAATTTTACAAGAAACATCGCCATATTTGCCAACCTTCCTCCTTTCTCATCCGGGTTTGGGACCGGTGACGGCGGAATTTTAATTTACCATACAGTGTGATAATTATCACGGGCTTTTGCCCGTCACTCAAGAAGTGTAGAAGGAAGGTCGCGACCTCAGGTGTGTTTAAAGCTTTGGCTAGCAGTGATTTGAAATTAAAAGGCTTTTCGCCGTTTATGTTTCAAGCCTATCTGATCTACTAGGCTAGCTGTTGCATTGTTCTTTGCAGTTTTGTACTCAGCTTTGTTTTATTTCTTACTCTTATTATTTTGCTGTTTAATTTGTGATATTAATTTGTGTGATTCTTTGATGATCTCGACCAAGCCATATACTTGAACTTTAAACATCGCTTAATTAATTCTGCGAAGCCAAAGAATTAGATATCATTAATCTGAGTACTCTCTCCTTGACTCTGATACTTCAGTTCAATTACAATAACTTGAATTTGAACTTTACTTTTAGTTGTTCTTGCAAATGTTTCCTGTTTGATCACCACTTATTGCTGTCTGTTACCTTGTTCTTCATTCGTCACCAAATCGTCGTTCAGCTCTGGTACTTATTTGGATGTGTTCTTTCATTAGCACTTGTCAAATTCCTAAGTTCATGGCTGGTTCAAGGCCTGATCGAGACGGTAGCTAAAGTGCCGATAATGAAGTTGGAGGTCACGTAAAATATTTTTCCTCCTCGACGTCTAAAGATTTTTAAGCGGATGACCTAACGTAATCTTTCATCTCATATTGGCACCTCTCTTGGCCGATAGAGCATCACATCAGTGAGATATTCAGTCATGGAATACCGTAAGGAATAAATTACATTCAAGCTACTATGCTAAAACGTCAAGTGCTTCCGATTGCGTTCAGAAGTCTTTAATTTGAATGCTGACTCAAATGGACAGTTTGATGATGTTTTTGGATCACAGACGTAGACACGTCAGACGGCGTCTGCAACATTTCAGATCCTACTCTGTCTGAAAGAATCTGAAGCGGAGTCCTTCTGCACACTTACCTCAGATTGTTCTTTGACGTCCCCGGGGTTCTTCGGTCGGTTGGTTGGGCAGGTAGTAGCTCTTTCGCTTTCCTTTCTGAAAGTATTCGCAAAACGTGCCCAATCCATCGTGGCACTGATTAGATATGGAGAAGTAGCGGCTGTATTCCTAGGCCCATAACTTCAGCATTGACCTCCTTATAAAACAAAATGTTTTACTGTTTAGTATTTCGCATTGCTTTCTTTTGTTTCTTATGTTCTGCTTGCTAGTTGTATTGAAAGTAGCTGAGATTCGTCGGATATTATAGTGACATTATATGATGTTATAGCGATATTATAATGATATATTATATAAGAAATTTGCCTGCTGACTTCCGATGATATCACGTACTGTTTGTGTTCGAAAATTGTCGTGGGATCATGTCTCAGTAGCAACTGTCATTACTCAAGCAAATTAACTTGATTATCTGGTTGATTGAATGCATAACACTGAGAAGGCTTTGCTGCTCCCGTCAGCCATCTCAGATGACGAGGCTGCTGTTAACGAATAGACGATGCCGAGTGATTAAGGAAGAAAGTCTAAAGGAATTTAAGACAACAGCTTTCGGTTTAATGTGATGAGCAGCCAAAGGATCTGCATAAACGGGTTGCAGGTGTCAACGAGGGAAAAGTGAATGCTGTCAAATTGATTGACATACTTTGGCGGCATGGCATCATGATGCCTCAAAGGCCGGTTTTTTACTCCGGAGGTGCCGTGTTCTGATCCTCTCAAGAGATGACGTTTTTATTTACCTCGAATTTCTTTGAGCAAAGAATTAATTGCTTTAGCACAATCGGCTGAAATACGTACAGTTAGTAACTTGCGAATAATAGGGACCGGAGGGTATTCTGACATGGTCATATTAGAATGGACAACCCGTAAGACCATGATGTTAGATGTGAGGCGCTCCTTATG